AAACTCTTGAAGTTCTTGGTTTAATGAAGCAAACACCTCGGCTAGGAGGATGATCTTGGCTAAATAATTTGAACCAACTTGGTTACTTGTTCTAAGACATTGATGAAAAAAAAATTACAGGTCTTGGTCATATGGAGCCAACAAATGACGACCTTGGTAATGAAAGATAAAGCGAGCTTAGCTGGCATGCTAAGTGGAGGAAATGATATAGGTTCCATCACCTCAGGATGCCGAGGTAATAGAACCTAGGGGGCAGTTGTGGGGACGTAATTTCTGAATGAAAACACGTGGCCGAGGTGCCACGTGTCCTGGACATGATGCCGAGGCAATCTCGGCTAGGCCGAGGTTATTTGTGAGAATACCGGAATCCGGGATAAGCGGATAAGGGACAAGAGTCCTAGATTGGGAGAGGACTTCAGTTTGGGTAAAGATAAGATTCTTAAAGAGTTTATCCTAATCCTACTGGGAGTCCAAGATTAGCAGTAATCCAAAATTCATTGAAGCTAGACTTCTATTAAGATTAGGCTTGTATTGGCTATAAAAGAGAGGCACCCTCATGGGTCTAAGGTACGTTTTTTGTATTCTGAATAGTGAGTTAAACACTTTTACTATCTTTGAGAGATAACTGACTTGATCGTCGGAGTGCCCTCGGGTGGTTGAACCACCGTCGGAATTTCTTTTTTTTGTTGGCAGGTCGTTCGGGCTTAATCTATTCTGCCAGTATTTTTCAGCTGAGTACCTGTTTGTCAGTGTGGTCGAAAATTGACACACACAATTACCATACCAATTAATACGTATAATTTTATTCTTATGAAAATGAATATCTAAACATGGTGCCCCGACTCATCCTGATGTTTGAATAAAAATAAAAATAATAATAATAAAAAAAACATCATGATGCGATTTTATGATATCGTCTCTTATAAATTATATTTTATTACATCATTTTTTAGTTATTTAAATTTTTTTAAAACAATCACATAAACCCTTTATTAAATTGCAGTATGCATTGTCTATGCAATTAATAGCAAGTTTTCATTAGAAGTAAACTATCCATAGGTCTTAATAATTGAATTTAATTCTCATCAAGTTCTATTAAAAATAAGTTTTAGTAAAATTATTGCTAAAAATAATTTTTTGTAATAATTTTTTATATATGTCCCTAAAAATTGACAATTAGTGACGTTTTTATCATGATTTTTATAAATTGTCACTAAAACTTACAATTAGTGATATTTTTTTATGACAAATTTTTTCCATAAGACTTATTAGACAATAAATTCACTTGACATATACTATAAGAAAGTGTATTACCTGTTAAGTAAAGGTTAGGCCTAAGTTTATTACTCTGAAGTCGGATCAGTCAAGCTTAAGGCCCCGTTTGTTTTGGGAGATAGAATGGAGGGGATTGATAGTGAGGGGATTAATAGTGAGGGGATTGATAGTGAGGGGATTGATAATGAGGAATTGTTAAATTATTTTTATATAAAATAATAAAAAAAATAAAAAAATATAAAAAATTAAACATTATATTTAAAAAAAAATTCCCAATATATAAAAAATAAAAAAATTTCTAATCCCCTCACTATTTTCTAATACCATCTCTACCTCCTCCTTACCAATCCCCCTTCCAAGGGTATTAGTAATACCAAGGGACTAATAGTCCCAAGGCTATCTCTGCAAACAAACAAGGGCATTGGTAATACCTTGGTATTACTAGTCCCAATACCCTCCCTATAACCTAAAACAAACGGGGCCTAAGGGCATTAGTAATATCTTGGTATTACTAGTCCCAATACCCTTCCTATAGCCTAAAACAAACGGGAAAAGAAAAAAATATGTAAGGCTTGGCCCACGAGCAGGATTGGATTGGGCACCAATGTTACAATTGTGAGTTAAGCTAGTTTGATGTCGACTCATAATATAGATGTTCTTATTAAATTATTCAGCTTACTTGGTTCTATTTTTTTAAAAATATTTTTTAGAAAATTTTACTTTCTTATTTTTCATATTTTATTATTTTTACTGAAAATTTTTAAATATCTTAAGTAATTTTTTTTACTTTTTAGACATATCTAACATAAATACACCTAAAAAGTAAAAAAGTTGTAAAAAAATTCACTAAATACTAAAATACAAAAAAAAATAAAGAATTCAGTACATTTTTTGTATTTTTATGTATTTATTAATTTTTTAAAATATTTTTTATAATTTTTTTAATTTTTAGATACATCTAAGTAATGTACATCTAAAAAAGTAAAAAAAATGTTTAAAGTTTTAAAAATATTCACTAAAAATAAAAAAATACAAAAATTAAAAAACTGAATTTTAAAAAAACTTAATCCAGAAAACTCAAACTAAACACGTTGATTATTTTTTATGTGTAAGTCTGTGATTTATTATTATATGATTAAGCGACTCTACTATGTTGTAGTACCACTCAAGGGTGATTTCTAGGGTTTCGGTTTTTTAAGATTTAGTAAGTGTTTGGCATTTACTAAAAAAATGTATTTTTTTTGCATATATACATTTATTTGGGTCATATCAATCAACATCTTTTCTTTACTCTTTTACTAACCTTCTCTACTTTTCTACACATTTTTTTTTGGGCTTGGCTTCTGTCCAGTCCTTAATCGGACTGGACCGTGCTGTTGGGCCCGTGGAGGCCCACCACGGGTCCCGTTTTGATAATCTGAACCGTCAATGTGTAGAACTCGTCGAGTACTATAAGCCTTTAAAAAATCACATTAATTGGATATCGATAGCTATGTGATCAAATCAGTTTTGTATTAAAAAAAAATGGACGGTGAATAAATTAACGGTTGACAAAAATTTGATTTGATCACATAGCTACCGATATCCGATTAACGTGATTTTTTACATGCTTATAGTACTCGACGAGTTTTACACATTGAACGATTTAGATTATCAAAACGGGACCCGTGGTGGGCCCCCACGAGCCCAACAGCATGGTCCAGTCCGATTAAGGACTGGACAGAAGCCAACGCCTTTTTTTTTATTATAAAAAGTCAAAAAGTGCACTTATTTAAAATATACCAAATCACTCCTTAATCTCAGATGTCACCCCTATGTGGTTAGTTTTTTTTCCCCCCCCATAGTGTGGGCCTTATATCCATGCATGTGATTGATAAAACTTCAAAAAAAAGATAAGTAACAAATTAAATTGTCAATTATTTAGTAAAAAGTTAAGAACATTATGTAGCAGAGTTCAGATCCTCTCCTTGCAAGCCATACTTGCGAACGTCCTTACAACGGCTGAGATTAGCCATTGCACATCCAACGGCTGAGATTAAAAAAAAAAAATTGATATTTCACGTTCTTCCCGCCCAAAACAAAACACAGCGTTGGTTTCATATTTTCGTGGGGAAACACAAAAACACACACTCATTCAACACCTCGTCATTCCATCTTGTCCGAACCCACTCTAGACGGCGACCCAATACCGGTGGCGACCCAGTCTACCCAGTCTCGACGCCGTTGCAAGGACCGACGATGGTGAAACCACAGGTCAGTTCCCCTTTGTCTCTGTAAATCAGAGGTTTGCCAAATTTATGATTAACTAGTACTCTATTTTTTCCCCCTTAATTGTTCTTCTTAACAGTGGATCAAATACGCAACTTCATTTGTGTTTGTATAAAATTCTTTAGTTTTCGGCCACAATCTTCAAATTTTTTTAAATTAATTTTAATATCTGGGTTTTTGTGGGTTTTTTTTTCCTGATTTTTCATCAGTAGTTCATTCTTGAAGCTGTAATTTATTTAATCAGTCATGTGAACAGATAAGGTTTTACTGGAATGTGATGAATTTTTTAGAAATCAATTTGTCTGTCTCTGTCTCTGTCTCTGTCTCTGTTTAGAAATCAATTTTTTTTAAATGAATGATATGAAATTTATGGATGATCTGTTGTTCAACTGATTCAAAAATGGATGATCTGTTGTTCAATACCGTTAAGGCAAATTAGAAATATGTTTCTAAACTACAAATCTATTATATATCATCTACTCGAATCAGTTTGAACATTATTCTGCCTATGTTCATTATTCTGCCTATGTCCATTATAATCGATTATATATGTCCATTATATATCCATTATATATCCATCATAGATGATCTATTGCTGTATGTTTCTAAAATGGATGATATATAATCTGTTGTTGTATGTTTCTAAAATGGATGATATATAATCTGTTGCTGTATGTTTTTAAAATGGATGATATATAATGGATACTGTTGCGAAGATGCATTATTCTGCCTATGTTCATAATGTCTCTAATAACCTATTGTGAAATGATCTGTTGTGTTTATTGATGTAGCTAAGATTTGATTTATGTAGCTAAGATTTTATTTATATGAGTTTTCGGTTGCATTTTCATATGGATATGGAACCTAAGAATGATTGTGCTTGGAAGCCAAAACAAGGAATGACATTCGATTCTGAACAATGTGTATATGATTTTTATAATACATGTGGAGGAAGAATGGGGTTTAGCATAAGAAGGGATTTTTGTAGGAAGAACAAGTTCACTAACCAACTTATTTGTAGACTTTTGGTTTGCAACAAGGAGGAATTTCAGAAGGATGACAAACGAGACCGATTGTCAAAAAACCCTAGAGCTAAAACTAGGACCGGTTGTGAGGCTCGACTTTATGTCAAATTAGATGAGGGTGCTGGGAAATATGTTGTGACTGATTTCAAAGAAAAACACAACCATGATCTTGTATCACCCGAGTGTGCCCACATGTTGCCGTCACAAAGAAAAATATCGACTACCCAAGCAATTGAGTTAGATTTGGCGGCACAATCTGGTCTTCGATTAGGCTAGTCTTTTGAACTCATGGGTAGGGAAGTTGGTGGGAGGCAATGTCTTGGGTTTACAAAATTAGATCAGAAAAATTATTTGAGAACCAAAAGACAACAAAGTTTAGCATATGGGGAAGTATGCAATGTGTTGCAATACTTTAAAGAAAAATCTTTGCAGAATCCTTCCTTATTTTATGCTTTCCAATTAGATAATGAAGAGCAAATAACGAATATGTTTTGGGCTGATGCACAAATGATCATGGATTATGCCCAATTTGGTAATGTTGTCACTTTTGATACTACTTACAAGTTAAACAAAGAACATAGACCCTTCGCGTCTTTTGTGGGATTCAACCATCATAGGGAAACAGTTATATTTGGTGCAGCCTTGTTGTATGATGAGACCGCCGAATCGTTTGTATGGTTGTTTCAAAATTTTCTAGAGGCTATGTCAGGAAAGGCACCAAAAACGTTGTTCACTGATCAAGATGCTGCAATGGCTAAAGCCATACCCATCGTTATGCCTGACACAAGTCACCATTTGTGTACTTGGCATTTGATGCAAAATGCATTAAAACATGTTAATTGTTTGTTCCAAGATAAGAGGGTAAAGGGTGTACTAAATAAGTTCTTCTTTGATATTGAAGATGCAAATCAATGGAAGTTAGAGTGGGCGGAAATGCTTGATAAATATGATGCGCATGAAAACCATTGGTTGAAATTGACTTTCGCGGTGAAAGAAAAATGGGGCTGGCCATATGTTAGATCAACATGGGCTGCGGGAACGAGTACCACACAACTTAGTGAATCTTTTAATGCTTTTTTGAAGGATTACATTTATTCTGATTTTAACTTAAATGAATTCTTCATGCATTTCGAAAGGGTACTTTACGAGAAGCGATACAAGGAGTTAGAAGCAGGATATGCTTTGTGCCAAAGGTTGCCAAAGGTGAAAGCAACAATAAGAATGTTAATTCAAATGGGTAATGTTTACACAAAAAAGATATTTGAGGAATTTCAAAATGAATACTTTCGATCCATTGAATTGGACATAGAAGCAATTGAATATGGCGAGGCTAGTACCATTTACACAGTTGTTGATGTTGGTAACAAACATGCAAGGAAAGTGAAGATGGAGAAGGATGGGTCATTAGGTTGTAATTGTACAAAATTTGAAAGGAAAGGAATCTTGTGTTGTCACTCATTAAAGGTTATTAGAGACATATTGAAGATGAAAGAGGTTCCTCCACATATTGAAGATGCTGCAATGACTGAAGATGAAAATGGCATGCAAAGTGAAGTCATACCATCTCAAATTGTGAAGCAAACTCATGTTGGATTGCTGCACAAATTCTGATGTTGCTGAGAAGTGAAGTAATGGCCTTTATGTGTGTTCAAATGCCTTGCTGGCTGGAAAGTGATGTTGAAATTGCTATTCAAACTCCACTCCAATGCCTGTTGAAATTGTGTTAAACATGTGTTCAAACTGCTACTGTATGTATGTTGAAATTCTAATGTTGCTGGAAAGTGAAGTAATGAGAATGATTGTGTTTGCAAATGGATTCTGAAGTAATGCCTTGCTGGAAAATTCTGTGTACCTGTATGTATGTTAATGGCTTGTAAAATCTTTTAATTGTTTGTATCTGTATGTATGTGTTAATGGCTTGTATGTTAATGGCTTGTTGACTGCTGGGAATGGTATGCTAATGATACAACCAAATTGTGCCATAACATGTGTTGCATCTGCTGGTTCTGGTCTGGTCTGGTCTGCATAACAGGTGCCATAACATGTGTTGCATAACATATGATCACCAAAATGTGCCATAACATGTGTTGCATGTGCCATACCTGTATGTATGTGTTGCTGGTTCTGGTCTGGTCTAGTCTGCATCTGCTGGTTCTGGTTCGCTCTAGTCTGGTCTGAATTTGCTGGTTCTGGCCCGGTCTGGTCTGCATCTGCTGGTTCTGGTCTGGTCTGGATATGGTATGCATAATTACATGCTTGGTAACATGCTTGGTAACATAATTACATGCTTGGTAACATACCCCATAACATGCTTGGTAACATAATTACATGATTGAATTACCAGAAGTGCAACCCTATAGTTCAACACACCCCTTAAAAGAATTCAAAATAGTATTAGTTTTGGCACTCAACAAGGCTTGGTAACAGATAGCAATGCTGTCTTGGTTTCTGATTGTGTTTTCAAATAGTAACAAATAGGCTTGGTAACAGATAGTATCAGTTTTCAAATGGCTTCTGATTGTGTTTTCAAATGCCATGCATGGTTGGTAACAGATAATAGTTTTGGCACTCAATAAATAAGTTGTGGCATAAAACAAATAGCAATGCTGCAATGCTGCCATAACAGTTTTGGCACTCAATAAATAAGTTTTGGCATAAGTTTTGGTAACAGATAACAGTTTTGGTACTCATTCTATGGTTTTGCTAGAGGTTCATGGTTCTGCTAGTGCTTCATTCCATCATTCATTCATCATTCATTCCATAACAAATAATAAATTGAATGTTTCCGAAAATTCATTCCATCATTCATTCCATAACAGATAACAAGTTGAGAGAAATCAACAAATGTGTATTCATTCCATAATAGATAACAAAAGTTACATCACAAAGTACATAAAACCCAAAATATTTCCCAAAATACATAAACATAAGTTAGTTCACGACGAAGTACATAAAACCCAAAATAATACAAACTTCCATTCAGTTCCCCAAAATAGAATAAAGTACAAAAGTTACATCATAAAGTACAAAATGATAGAAAATACAATGAAATACATCATCGCTTTCATATTATTTTCCATCCTTTGAAGCCCTCAACCATAGTCATTTTCCATGTAGTCAAGCCTCGTCCTTACACTGTTAAAGTCTTCGACTGTTATACCATGACAAGCTGTACAGTTGGAACGGATTCTAGACGTAACATCTTCATTATCTTCATCCAAGAACTTGAAGTAATTGCAATAGGGAGTGGGAGTGTTACTCTGCAATGCATGAGAATCAGTTAGTTCAATAAGACAAATATTAATGTAACTACTGAAGAAAGAAATTTTCCAATACAAACTTACATATTTTGATGGGCAAACAAAGAACAAACGCTCTTGATTTCCATTCTCGTTGGTTCTTACAATATGTATGGCAGCAATTCTTCCACAATTGCACATCCTCGGTTGTAATATTATGTTACTAATGTTAGAAGAAGAAACCATTTTTTAAATCTGCATCACTACTACAAATACAGATAAAGATCACACTTTTTTGGTGTGATATATGTGTTTTAATCACACCTTTTAAGTTTTATTAAAGTGTGGTCTTTGGGAGTGTGATTAAAAGGGTTCATTTTTAATCACACTTTTTAAGTGTCATTAAAAATGATTTCATCACATCTTTTAAGTGTGATGCTAAAATAGCCAAAAAATTCAAAAAGCCAAAAAGCCAACCCACTTCCCAAACGGAGGCTAAATAAAATACACCATCGGTCATGTTAAATTTAAAGAATGTTTGCATAATCTATATAAGTGCACTTATTTAAATAAGTATATTTATTTAAGTCATATTATATTTTTATTTTTTTTGTATATCTTTTCATAAAATTTTTTAAAATATACTTATTCAGATCAGTCTAATAATACCTTTTATTATTTTATTATATTTATTATAGAATATTTTCAAATTCAAAAGTCAAATTTTCGTAGGAACTCACTTTGTAATAGGTCTCACAAGATAAAGAAATTTAAAAAAATAGATAAATTATATTGACTTCCTTTGAGATTTTGAAAAAAAATACATTAAATTTTATAATTTTAATATAATTACATTGAGCTCTCTTAAAATTTTAATCTACCTAACAACTTAACCCCATTTTTATCAATATTTTGTCAGTCCTATAAATGGAAAAATAATGTTATCATATCTTTTATATTTATATGTATATTTTTTCTTATCATTATGTTTTTACATTATTTATATTAGTTTTGACTCCATTAATATTAATAAAATGAAAATCAGCATAATTATATTAAAATTATAAAACTATTTACATTTTTCTCAAATCTTAAGAGAGATGATGATAATTTGTCCTAAAAAAATTTGACATTTACTTTCCCGCCTAGGGGAGAGGTCATGCCAAATTCCTATATAGCATTTGACTCCCCGCTTAAAGCCTGTTGAAATGTTTATTTTTAACTTCTAAAATGTCAAAAAAAATATTTAAAATATCAGTAACAAATAGTGACGGATGCAGGATTTAGGCATGAAAGATATGTACTGCATATATTTAAAATTGTTAAAAGTTATATTAAAGGGTTGTTTGGGATGATCTAAATAAATGTACTTTTTGTCTTTTTATGAAAAGATGTGCAGAAAAATAGAGAGGTGATGTGATGAAAAAAAGATAAAAAGATGGATTATTTGAAATATGCCAAACTTGACTTAAAAGAGTAATTTATACATTGTACTACACAAAAACAAAAAAATCAAAAAGGGATGGTATAAGTATTTTTTTTCACATCGATATCAAACTAATGATGGAAAATTACAATGCAATCTATTTAACTAGAAATATTTACAAAATTATGGGAGTACAACTCTTTTTTTTTTTTCTTTTTCTTTTTGTTCATGTGTGCGCAAAAACACACAGCAAGAATTGCACTCTCAAAAGATTTCCACCTCTTGGTAATTTTTTTGGGTACCTCCCACTATATTATAAATTTATCAACCAAAATATAATAAGATAGTATGATCATCATATATTTTTGATAGTATAATTATAGGAACTACTTACTAATAGGTAATGTAGTTTCTCACAATAATAGAGATTAATATAGTTTCTCAACTTTGCTGGGGCATCGCACCCTAGTCTCCTCTCTTTTGCTTTCATTTGACATAAGTTAAAATGAGATTTTTTTAACTATAATAGTTATAAAAAAATAAAATAGATTTTTTAACTAAATAAAATAAAATGTCACATGTAAATCATAATAATTTTTTTTTCCACAAAAGTTGAAAAGCCAAAAAATCTATCTAAAACAAGACTTTTTAAGTTCAGGCTAAAATAACTAAAAATCAACCCACACCCCAAACAAATCTTCAGCCTATTGTGCGAGTAACAAGTTGTCATTGGTCTCGAGGAGAATACACATATATTAAAATGCAATAATGTTTGAGACCCCTTTTTGGGGAGACCCCACCACCCGCACAGTGATTTGGACTAATAATGTGTTTGTATTATTATTATTATTATTTTTTTTTTCTCTTTCTTACTTGGATCAATCACAAGTGAGTGAGGATTGTGGGAGTGATATTTTGTGGGGGTCTGAATCATTACTGATTAAAATATATAAACATAAAGGGCAAATTATCAATATCCCTTGATATTTGATTAAAATACAAATTCCCCTTGAAATTTGAGAAATTATAAATTGCCTCCTGAAATTTATATTTACATAATAAATGAAGAAGCAATTTGTTATGTAAATATAAATTTCAAAAGACAATTTATTATGTAAATAAAAATCTTAGGAGCGAAATGTAACTTCTCAAAACTCAAGGAAAAATTTCTATTTTAATCAAATCTGGAGGGTATTAGTAATTTGTCCAAACATAAATATAAAACTATTTTGACATGACAAGAATATATCAAAATTCTATTTATTTTTTCTTCATATTTTCAAATTAATTTGACTAAAAATGAATTCTATAGCATGCAATTATGCCCGTGGTTTATAACTAGTTGGCTTGGCCGTATAGTTTGGGACGGAATCAGTAGGCCGTCCACGTTTTTGCCTCAAGTGGGTTCGACCTCGCGTCATTCATGAATAGGGACCATCGAAGTGTCTGTCCTGATCAATCACGTGAATGCGTCTCAATTCGGCTGGCATTCTTGGAAGACGTGCTAGCAAAAGTGGAATTGATTTTCGATAAGCCCCTCTCGTATGGCCCCCAATATTCTTATCCTCTATAATTTCTTATTTTTTATTTTTTGGATTTTATTTTAAAGTTTATATTAATAATTTAAATCGGTAACCTTATAAGTCTCATAATAAAAATTATCTGTACAAAAAATTAATTTCATCGAATATCGATAAATATATAAATAAATTATTTTTTATTTTACAAAATGAAATATTTAATTTGAAACTTACAATTATTGTCCATTTAAAAAATAAAAAAAGATAGAATTTATTGATATATCTAATAAGATGAACGGTTTAGATTATTAATATGAGTCTAGAATGGAGCCCAAAAAATAAAGTACAACAATGTTAGGTAGCTCAAAATTTTATGGTTCAAATGGCTCAAATCACTCAAAACGATGTCATTTTGAGTGTAAATGAGTGTAAAACGACGTCGTTTTGACAAATTTGAGTCATTTGAGCCACAAAATTTTGAGTTACCAAACATTTTCCAATAAAGTATAGAGTATAAAGTACGGAGATGAGCCATTCCCCTCGTGTGGGGGATTAAACATTTAGTTAAAAAGTCACCATAAATTATCACATCACTCTTTCTATTTTTTTGATAATTTATAGTGACTTTTTAACTAAAATACTTTCCCAAACGAGGTCAAAACAAGAAGGGGTTGTTTGGGATACTATTAAAATAGCATACTTTCTGTCTTTTTATCTTTTTTGAGTCACATCAATTCTCTACTTTTCTATTTATATTTTCATAAAAAAAATTAAAAAATTATTAAAATAACTTATCTCCAAACAATCCCTAATAATTATTTTTAGGGATTATTTGGGATAAACTATATAAGTGTATTTTTGAATTTTTAACTAAAAAAGTAGAGAAAAAAAAGTTATTTGGGATAATTTTTTTAAAATTTTATGAAAAAATATGTATTAAAATAATGTATAAAACACTAAAATTACATTCTTACTCCCGACAGTGCGCTGAGCACTGTCACTTGTGACTTCTCCTCTCTCACAGTGCACTGAGCTGCCCTTGTATTGTTTGACTTCTTTTTTTTTTTCTTCCTTAAACAGTTGTGAGCTGTTATTGGAGGGTAAAAATGTCTTTTTTCCCTCTGAGTACTCAGTTCCATTTCCATAAAAAAACATTGTATAAACATTTTTATTTTTTTAGTGACTTTTTAACTTTTTATCTTTTTTAGATGATACCAAACAAGCACTTAATAAGTGTATTATATACCACAATTATAAGGCCTCATTTGTTAATAAGTAATTTTAGTCGGAAAGTTAAAAATTCATTACAAATTATCATATCACTCTAAGTTAAAAAACACTAAAATGTATTATAAATCACAATTATAAGGCCTCATTTATTAATAAGTTATTTTAGTCGAAAAGTTAAAAATTCATAACAAATTATCATATCACTCTAAGTTTAAAAAAATTAAAATAATCAATTTCCCAACAAGTACAAGTGTTACTCACATTCCATTAACATTAAATCTATGTATTCTACCACATTTATTAGGTAAAATTTGGAATGCTATTTTTTAGTATATGGCATGTTTCATTGATTTTTGGACGATTTTGTTGTGGAGTGAAAAATGACAACTATTCATTGTCAGCATTCACATCATATGTTGGTGTGATTTATGAGTTCAGATCCTCTCCTTGTAAGTTATACTTGTGAGCGTCCTTGCAACGGCTGAGATCAGCAGTTGCACATCCAATGGTTGAGATTAAAAAATAAAAATAAAAATTTTGATTCTTCCCGCCCAAAACAAAACACAACGTTGGTTTCAGATTTTCGTGGGGAAACACGACAACACACACTCATTCAACACACACTTGTTGGTTCTTGTCCAAACCCACCCCAGACGGCGACCCAATATCGGCGGCGACCCAACCTACCCAGTCTCCACGCCGTTGCAAGGACCAACGACGGTGAAACCATAGGTCAGTTCCCCTTTGTCTCTGTAAATTAACAAGTTCATGGTTTTTTTATACAAATTTATCATGTTCATTTGTCTCTGTAAATCATTAACAGGTTCATTTGTGTTTGTATAAAATTCTTTAGTTTTCGGCCACAATCTTCAATTTTTTTTTTAAAATTAATTTTCATTTCTGGGTTTTTGTGGATTTTTTTTGATTTTTCGTCAGTAGTTCATTCTTGAAGCTATAATTTATTTAATCAGTCATGTGAACAGATATCAATTTAAAAGCTGTAGTTCATTCTTGATTTTTCAGTCACATATCAGGTAATTTTCAGATAACAGATAACAAATAACAAATAACAATTTTCAGATCATCCATTTGTGAACAGATAACAAATACCAGGTAATTTTCAGATATCATTATGTTAATCACATATCTGGTATCTGTTCATTCTGGTATTTAATTTTCAGATATATAAACAGATATAGTTCATTCTGTTAATCACATATCTGGTATTTGTAGTTCATTCTTGATTTTTCAGTCATGTGAACAGATATCATGTGAACAAATATGACTAATTTATTTAATCACTAATTTAGAGATATCACTAATTTAGAAGCTGTAGTTCAATCATGTGAACATATATCACTAATTTATTTAATTAGTCATGTGATTTTTCGTCAGTAGTTCATTTTTGAAGCTGTAGTTCATTACTGGAATGTGATGAATTTTTTAGATTTTATTATATATGTCCATTATATATCCATCATAGATGATCTGTTGCTGTATGTTTCTAAAATGGATGATATATAATGGATACTGTTGCGAAGATGCATTATTCTGCCTATGTTCATAATGTCTCTAATAACCTATTGTGAAGTGATCTGTTGTGTTTATTGATGTAGCTAAGATTTGATTTATATAGCTAAGATTTTATTTATATGGATTTTCAGTTGCATTTTCATATGGATATGGAACCTGAGAATGATTGTGCTTGGAAGCCAAAACAAGGAATGACATTCGATTCTGAAAAATGTGTGTATGATTTTTATAATACATATGGAGGAAGAATGGGGTCTAGCATAAGAAGTGATTTTTGTAGGAAGAACAAGTTCACTAACCAACTTATTTGTAGACTTTTGGTTTGCAACAAGGAGGGATTTCGGAAGGGTGACAAACGAGACCGATTGTCAAAAAACCCTAGAGCTAAAACTAGGACCGGTTGTAAGGCTCGACTTTATGTCAAATTAGATGAGGGTACTGGAAAATATGTTGTGACTAATTTCAAAGAAAAACATAACCGTGATCTTGTATCACCCGAGTGTGCCCATATGTTGCCGTCACAAAGAAATATATCGACTGCCCAAGCAATTGAGTTAGATTTGGCGGCACAATCTGGTCTTCGTTTAGGCCAGTCTTTTGAACTTATGGGTAGAGAAGCTGGTGGGAGGCAATGTCTTGGGTTTACAAAATTAGATCAGAAAAATTATTTGAGAACCAAAAGGCAACAAAGTTTAGCATATGGGGAAGTAGGCAATGTGTTGCAATACTTTAAAGAAAAATCTTTGCAGAATCCTTCCTTCTTTTATGCTTTCCAGTTAGATAATGAAGAGCAAATAACAAATATGTTTTGGGATGATTCACAAATGATCATGGATTATGCCCAATTTGGTGATGTTGTCACTTTTGATACTACTTACAAGTTAAACAAAGAACATAGACCCTTCTCGTCTTTTGTGGGATTCAACCATCATAGGGAAACAGTTATATTTGGTGCAGTCTTGTTGTATGATGAGACCGCCGAATCGTTTGTATGGTTGTTTCAAAATTTTCTAGAGGCTATGTCAGGAAAGGCACCAAAAACGTTGTTCACTGATCAAGATGCTGCAATGGCTAAAGCCAAACCCATCGTTATGCCTGACAGAAGTCACCGTTTGTGTACTTGGTATTTGATGCAAAATGCATTAAAACATGTTAATTGTTTGTTCCAAGATAAGGGGGTAAATGGTGTACTAAATAAGTTCTTCTTTGACATTGAAGATGCAAATCAATGGAAGTTAGAGTGGGCGGAAATGTTTGATAAATATGATGCGCATGAAAACCATTGGTTGAAATTGACTTTCGCGGTGAAAAAAAAATGGGGCTGGCCATATGTTAGATCAACATGGGCTGCAGGAATGAGTACCATACAACTTAGTGAATCTTTTAATGCTTTTTGAAAGATTACATTTGTTCTGATTTTAACTTAAATGAATTCTTCATGCATTTTGAAATAGTACTTTACGAGAAGCGATACAAGGAGTTAGAAGCAGGATATGCTTTGTGCCAAAGGTTGCCAAAGGTGAAAGCAACAATAAGAATGTTAATTCAAAAGGGTAATGTTTACACAAAAAAGATATTTGAGGAATTTCAAAATGAGTACTTTCGATCCATTGAATCGGACATAGAAGCAATTGAATATGGCGAGGCTAGTACCATTTACACAGTTGTTGATGTTGGTAACAAACATGCACGGAAAGTGAAGATAGAGAGGGATGGGTCATTGGGTTGTAATTGTACAAAGTTTGAAAGGGAAGGAATCTTGTGTTGTCACTCATTGAAGGTTATTAGAGACATATTGAAGATAAAAGAGGTTCCTCCACATATTGAAGATGTTGCAATGACTGAAGATGAAAATGGCATGCAAAGTGAAGTCATACCATCTCAAATTGTGAAGCAAACTCATGTTGGATTGTTGCACAAATTCTGATGTTGCTGAGAAGTAAAGTAATGGCCTTTATGTGTGTTCAAATGCCTTGCTGGCTGGAAAGTGATGTTGAAATTGCTGTTCAAACTCCACTCTAATGTCTATTGAAATTGTGTTAAACATGTGTGTTCAAACTGCTACTGTATGTGTGTTGAAATTCTGATGTTGCTGGAAAGTGAAGTAATGAGAATGATTGTGCTTTCAAATGGCTTCTGAAGTAATGTCTTGCTAGAAAATTCTGTGTACCTGTATGTATGTTAATGGCTAGTAAAATCTTTTAATGGCTTGTATCTGTATATATGTGTTAATGGCTTGTATGTTAATGGCTTGTTGACTGCTGGGAATGGTATACTAATGATACAACCAAATTGTGCCATAACATGTGTTGCATCTGCTAGTTCTGGTCTGGTCTGGTCTGGTCTGCATAACAGGTGCCATAATGTGCCATAACATGTGTTACATAACATATGATCACCAAAATGTGCCATAACATGTGTTGCATGTGCCATACCTGTATGTATGTGTTGCTGGTTCTGGTCCGGTCTAAATCTGCTAGTTTTGGCCTGGTTTGGTTTGCATCTACTGGTTCTGGTCTGGTCTGGATCTGGTATGCATAATTACATGCTTGGTAACATACCCCATAACATGCTTGGTAACATAATTACATGATTGAACTAGCAGAAGTGCAACCTTATAGTTCAACACACCCCTTGAGAGAATTCAAAATAGTATCAGTTTTCGCACTCAACAAGGCTTGGTAACAGATAGCAATGCTGTCTTGGTTTCTGATTGTGTTTTCAAATAGTAACAGATAGTATCAGTTTTCAAATGGCTTTTGATTGTGTTTTCGAATGCCATACTGGTTGGTAACAGATAACAGTTTTGGCACTCAATAAATAAGTTGTGGCATAAAACAAATAGCAATGTTGCAATGCTGCCATAACAGTTTTGGCACTCAATAAATAAGTTTTGGCATAAGTTTTGGTAACAAATAACAGTTTTGGCACTCATTCCATGGTTTTGCTAGAGGTTCATGGTTCTGCTAGAGCTTCATTCCATCATTCATTCATCATTCATTCCATAACAAATAATAAATTGAATGTTTCCGAAAATTCATTCCATAATTTATTCCATAACAAATAACAAGTTGAGGGAAATCAACAAATGTGTATTCATTCTATAACAGATAACGAAAGTTACATCATGAAGTACATAAAACCCAAAATATTTCCCAAAGTACATAAACATAAGTTAGTTCATGACGAAGTACATAAAACCCAAAATAATACAAACTTCCATTCAGTTCCCCAAAATAGAATAAAGTACAAAAGTTATATCATAAAGTACAAAATGATAGAAAATACAATGAAATACACCATCGCTTTCATATTATTTTCCATCCTTTGAAGTCTTCGACCATAGTCATTTTCCATATAGTCAAGCCACGTCCTTACACTGTTAAAGTCTTCGACTGTTATACCATGACAAGCTGTACAGTTGGAACGGATTCTAGACGTAACGTCTTCATTATCTTCATCCATGAACTTGAAGTAATTGCAATGGGGAGTGGGAGTGTTACTCTGCAATGCATGAGAATCAGTTAGTTCAATAAGACAAATATTAATGTAACTACTGAAGGAAGAAATTTTTCAATACAAACTTACATATTTTGATGGGCAAACAAAGAACAAACGCCCTTGATTTCCATTCTCGTTGGTTCTTACAATATGTATGGCAACGGTTCTTCCACAATTGCACATCCTCGGTTGTAATCTTATGTTGCTAATGTTAGAAGAAGAAGCCATTTTTTTAAATCTGCATACATGAGAACTTTTTGTAATCTTTTTCTATTGTAACTTTCAGTTTATGGTAAGGTATTTTGTCTGCAATGCTGATTATGGGGAAAATTAGTGGATGCTATCAAGTGTAAGCCATTTTTTTAAATTCAAACACCCTTCTTCCCCTTTTAAATTCAACAATCTAGCAAGTTAGTTCAAAGGAAACAATTGAGGCCCATGTATTCCATATTAATACAAACTATTGACCAAAATGAAAATCACAAATTTATGGCATCGCATGGCTTATTGAAGAGAAACCCTTCATTGCAACTAAGTTTGTCTTACCATCTAGATTATGAGGGCCAAGAAATGCTGTGTTTGAATATTCATCAAAATGAAAAGAAAAGGAAAAAAAAAGCCTATGTCAGGAGCTGGTTGAGTCGGGGTCCAGCATGAAAGGCACAACTTATCCTTTTGGGTAATTGTCCAGGATAAAAGGCACAGCCTAGCAGTGATAACACTAACATATATGTCGCTACCTACTATAGGAAAAGAAGGAAGATGTGTATCTCTAATGCTACTTTATACAAGATAATTTGATTGGAGCTAAATATAAGGTACAATTAGCTTTCTTCTCTTTTCTTTTCTTTTTTTTAAACATGCAGGAAAAACCTATACTAAAGCATTAACAGATTCAATCTTCCATTGTCATGCATATGGGAGTGGTTGAAGTACCACTTCATGTTCTTCAAAAAAATACCATGATAAATCTATATATAAGCAAAGAGTAATGAAATAGAATTGGTCAAAAACCAACATTTAAGGATCCTTTATGAGATGATTCGATAAATAGCCTCAAACACTGACATGAATGACCTATGCAGACAGAGAAGCTGGCTCAGAATGAGGACAATATTAAAATTATGAATCTGCGGCACTCAATTTTATCATTTTATATTGATATACAATAGTCAAGAATGATCTATTTTGCTTTTAGGAACAGCAGTTACTAATAGTATCTAATCCTACAGTTGCTCACTCATCTATAACTTGCTAAACTTTGTTAATTTTTTTCTTTAAAGCATTTAACTACCACCCCCACTAAAAAGTATTCTGGAATCTTTCCTATATGGAATTCTGGAATCAAACTAATGCTCAAGTAGTTAATTCTGGAATCAAACTAATGCTTAAGTAGTTAATTCTGGAATTCTAGAATCTTTCCACTTTATCATTCCTATAAATAATTCTGGAATTAATGCTTAAGTAGTGCAACTGGTCCAGTGTTCAACAAATGCATATAATGTTGTACAGATTAGTTACTAACCATAAAATGATAAAGTGCAAAAATAAATGAGAAGAGGAAGCAAGACAACGAAGACGAAACTTAAGCCCTAATTTTTGTTACTGTCAAAGCCCTAATTTCTTTCACAGTGAAAGCCCTAATTTTTGTCACAGTGAAAGCCCTAAATTCACAGTGAAATCCCTAATTTTGAAATTTCAATCTCAATCACACAACCCTAATTTCTTAATTTCAGAGTTTCGAATACAAACCTGGTTCCTCATGAACAAATTTCTTCGCTCAGCCCATGCAGGTCGTAGTGGAGCTATGGTTCACGAAGAAGAGAATATTAAGGCTGGAGTGGGTCGCCTGTGCCGTCTGGGGGACTGGTCGTCGCCGGTGCCGTCTAGGGGACTGGTCGCCGATGAGGGTGGGTTTGGTGAAGGAGGACGGTTGAGTGCGAGGCTGAGTGAAACATAGCTTGGCTGACTGATTGTGCTGCAAATGTATAACTAGCAACGGGCGGGATTTGAGTGAAATTTCAATTTTTTTTTTTTTTTTAATCTCAGCCGTTGGATGTGCCGTTGCAAGGACGCTCACAAGTATGGCTTGCAAGGAGAGGATCTGAACTCTATGTAGCAAAGCTCAAGTGTTTATTTTTAAATGATAAAGAAAATTGCATGTACATGGCCTATACATGACATGGCAGGTAATGTGAAATTTGCTCCTTATCCCAAATAAAATAAATAATAAGACTAAAGTGCAAGAATTCTCACCAATTTAACCATTGGTTGAAAAAGCTAGACTTCTTTAAAAACAGAAGTTACTAAAAAATAATTTTTCAATAGTTTGTCAAACCATTGTGGTTTTTCATGAATATATATACATATATATATTTATCAAAAAGTAAGGAGGAAAAAAAGTTAAATTTTTTTTTCGAAAATGTGATTTTCCCGTGGCTTTGTAGCCTAATCACATCTCCTCTAAACTCCAATTAAGAGATGAGAGTTTAAGCATGGTATGAAGATGTTGGATGCAATTTTTATCATAATAGATGATATATTAGCAAAAGATATAATTCAATGCCCATGTTTAAAATTAAAACAAAATGATAAGAATTTTTTTTATTAAACTAAACACTCCAAAACAACATTGTTTTGCTTCCTCTTTCAATTTGGGAATTAAATTTGTACACCTACAAAAAAAAAATAATAATAATATGCTGACGTCTCCTGAGATTTGGAAAAAATAAGTCTCATAGTTTTGACATAATTATATTAAATTCCATTAAGATTTTAATTTATATAATAATTAGCTTCATTTTCATCAATGATTGGCTAGTCAAAGAGGTAAGAAAAATGATATTATCATATCTTTTATAGTGAAAATATATATTTCTTATTTATTCTTATATCTTTACACCAGTTGCATTAGTTATGATCCATTTAACCTTACTAAAATAAAGTGAATGTAATTATATCAAAATTATAGAATTTTTTACATTTTCTCTAAATTTTAGGGTCAATGTAATTTACCCAAAAAATTATAATAGACAATCTTGATTTATGGGATTATATGAGGTAGGGCACCCAACTTATGGGCTGGGTCGGAGCTCCTTCTAAAGTGGGCTTACCTTGAATTGGGGTTTGTCATTGCCAAATTAATAGAACAAGAAGGGTATGATTGTCATACACATATATACACTTACATACACATGTGGTGATATGTGTGTGTAAGTGTATGAGGTGCACCATTTTTTTTTTATCCACACATTCTATCTGAGAGATCGTCCAAGTCTGCTGCTGAGAGTTGGTCATAAAAGTCATCTCCATCCCCCATGGCTGGTTCATCATGCCATTGACTATCTTGGTCATCTATTATTGGTGACTCATGGGAGACGCTATGCTGATAGTTGGGATATTGACCTTCATCGACAAATGTCTCTT